AAATTAAAGCGTAGACTTTACTTAAATTATGTCTAGTCAAGAGGGTAAACTGAGAAGGAAAAAAAAACACACACACAGTGTAATATTTATAACAACATGCAACTCATGACGGAAGACGAATATCATCATCCAGACATCATAAGACATAAAATAGTATGCAAATGAAGTATGATATTCTACTAATTAAAATAGTAATTATACTAAAGCTAGTCTATCTAAAATATGATTCCACGTATTGATAACAAAAATATAGATCATCAAACCAATTACAACATACTCATAATCATCTAATATGACAAAAATAAATAAAAATCTCAAATTTCCATACTCACAATTAATAAATTACTCCATTGAGCAATATATATATATATATATATATATATATATATATATATATATATATATATATTTGTACCCAATAAGACTTAGCCTGACATAATAGCAATTTTGAAATTAGGAAATATTCATAATCTAATTCTTTATAAAGACAAGAAGTCTGCATGTATTATCACAAGAACACAATTCTAACTCATATTGAATTAGTTTCAAAAGCCAACAATTGCATATGCTGCTACATGATTGATATATAAAATCTGCAAACCCAATAATTCTTTTTACCAAACTAAATTTCCACTACTAGTTGCAAAGTTATAAATTAACAATATTATGAAGAATAATACAGTACCAAATTTTCAGAATCCAATTAAAAACTATATGAGGTGCTCGAATACTATCAGATTTCCAGAATAACCTATATATTTCTTTTACTAATATTATGGTAATACCATGTATAAAGGATAAGAAATCTGATAAGAAAATTAATATTTGATGAAATTAGAAAGTTTAATAAATCCAAGTACTAAAAATTGGATGAAGAATACAAGATTAACGAACAGCAATTAGCTACACTAACAAATTAGAAATTGATACCCTTTGTTGAGTAGATTTTTCGGACTTGTCTTTGTTTCTTCCTCGACCTACCCTTTGCTATCTTCTAGTTACACTAAGATATAATTAGAAGATGATACCAAACAATCTATTATTAATTCCTCACTATCTTCAATCTACACTAACAAATTAGAAATTGATATCAAAAAATCGAAATCAAATTCGAATTTGATGAGCGAAATTCTGAAGGAGATCAAGTTTGGAATATTAGATGGCATTCTTTTGATTTATTTTTTTTTAGGAATTTTTTTCTTTTTCAAAAGGATTTTGTGGGAACTCAACGAACTAGTTGGAGTTTTTCAATCTTCAGTGATTTGTTTGGAGAATCATTACTCATTACTTTTTTCTGTGTTGCACCTGATTCACCCTTTGGGCTAATTCGAATTCGGGGAGCAGTTTTGGATAGTTAAGTTTTAGTCCTCTCTCAATTGTTGTTGCGGGGGATCGAACACGGGTCCTCCCTACCAAGTGCAGTACCAATCACTACTGCACCAACAACTAATTGGTCGAATCATTACTCACTAGTGATGGTATAATAATAATTTTATTTTTTTGACATTAATAATAATGTTTCTCAAAAAAAAAAACAATACATAATACATGTTGTTTACGGGTGTCAATTCGGGTAAACGGTTCGGATTCGGGTTGGGTTTATCGGTTTTGGGTTTAACGGATCGGTTTATAACGAAATGATTAGCAGGTCGGTTTTAAAAATTATTGGGTCAGTTCAGTTTAGTTATTTTTTATTGCGATTTCTATTCCAATTAGGTCCTAATCGGGTCGGGTTGTAATCGTTTCGGGTCATAATCAGTTTGGGTTGAACCGGTAAGTTTGAAAATGGGTTTATCTAATTTGAAAAGGTAAAAGCGAGTATAAGTAGTTGACTCTTTCGTAAATGGGCAAGTCGATATTGATGATGATGAGTTGAGTTTGAGTGATGAAAGTCACGAATTTGATTAACTTATGCGTAAAGAACAATGGATTAGTAATTATATTATAAGCATCGTGACATATAAGCATAAGACTTATAAACATAATAAATCGATTTGACTTTCATATTTGTATAAAATTAATGGTAAAACTCACTATCTTTATTTTTAATCTAATAAATAATTTGACTTTCACATTTGTATAAAATTATAAATTGTCATAATGGTTAAAGTTACCCTTTTGACCCACCTTGGTTTGGGTCAGATCAATTTTGAGTCGAGGCAATAACTATTGGGTCCAAGTCGAGTTTTGATTAAGTCATCAACTTTGTATTTTTTTATGCTCAAATTGGAGTATTAAGTTCAAAACAGGTTTGAGTAGGTCTATTTCGCGTTAGATGACTTTGGGTCTCTTTGATTACGTTTTGACTGATTTGGACCCTATTTGTTATCTTAACTCGGACTTTATATGTTGACCTTTATTTAACTTATTTTAGGAAAAATAAGTTCACATAAATAAGTTTAGATAAGGTTTGTTTGATACAAATAATAAGTTCGAATATGATACATTTAGGAAATATATACAATTAGGGATGTCAATGGGCCGGGGCGGATGTTGGCCTTCCCATCCCAATCTAAAATTTTCATACCCATCCCCATCCCCGCGACGGGTCTAAAATTCATCCCTATCCCCGCCCCAGCGGATACAACTCCAAAACCATCCCCGCCCCACCCCCACCTAAGACCCGCCTAATCCCCGCCTCCCAAATACACAATTAATCCTTCATAATTAATAAAGATTGCAAAAAGAAAAAATTATTGTTAATATTACACATTTTTTTGTTTTGTTTATAATATAAGTGTATTACAAAGTATTATATTTACTATTTTATTTTACATAATTTTTTTTTATAAAATAGTATAAAAGTATATAATTTTGTTTTTAAAAATATATGGATGTAAGGATGGGGCAAGTACGAACTGGGGCGGGTGCGAAGTTGGGCGGGTTGGGGCGGGGATGGAACGGGTCTCCTATTTGACCCGCCCCACTGACATCCCTATGTATAATCACTACTTATTACCATTTAATTCGATCAATATAGTATATCAACCTTTACCATGTCAATGAACACCCGAATATGTTAATGAACTTTTGAATGATTTTTTTTCCGTTTTCTAGAATATATAAAGTAAAATGTATCATATACTATTGAACATTTCATAATATATTTATTTAAGAGTATATTATACCATTCTTAATTAACTGTACCAGTGTCCTATATTTTCTAAACAACCATATTGCGTACCTGTTTTGTGTCCGTACTCGATCCAGTTACCATTCTAGTGCAACGGAGGCTGTGTTTAAATAAAAAAAGTTTCTCTTGTACACATATGTCAATGCAAAACTTTGATTGATAATATCTTATAATTATCAATAAGTAAAAATTATAATAATTGAATATTAATAAATTATTCATTGAGACGATTCCAACAAGTATCCACAGGACTATATTTATTCTTATGTATAAATCACAAACATTAGTCAAAGTGAGCAGATGAATAGTGCAAAAAGTCAGAAGACTTCACTTATTTAGACACGGTGGGAGTATAAGGGTATTATAGTCGCTTTCACTTAGACCACTCTCAATGGTGAGCAAAAAAAATGCTCACCCACTCTCTCTCTACCCACTTTCTCTGTCAACAAATCAATTTTGCTCATGGGCAAATTTTTTTCACATTTTCTCTCCCAATGGTGAGCAAAACCACTCTCTCTCTCTTACTTTTTCAATACCCCACCATTACTTTCTCTCTCCTACACAACACTTCTTTATTTATTTATTTCATTTATATTTTAACAATGTTACTCCAAATAAAATAAAAACTAGTTTAAATTTGTGTAACTTATTTTTTTTATTTTTGTCTTTTTTATCGTTAAAATTTGTCGTAAAATTAAGTACGTTGTATTAAAAAATTGTAAAAAAAAGCTCAAAATTTGCTAAATGTTTTTTTTTATTTTAAAGCGGTACAATACTAGAAACCAATTACATTTGCAACGTCATGCGTAATTAAACTTAGGAAATAAAATAAACACAACAGCTAAAAAATAACTCGACTGCGTTCGGAAAAGTAGCTACGCCATAGTACTTGGCTTTATTTAAGTCGTCTAATTTCTCCCTAATTACGTGGCCCGTATCGTTGCCAAATATGTTCAACTAAATCACGTTTCAGAGATAGATGAATTTCTCTGTCACGGAGGGAAGCTTTTCGCTGTAGAAATGCGTTGAAGTCAAAGTTGGTAGGTCGGCCTACGTTGAATTCAAACGGTGGCGTTGTAGATGTTGATGATGGTGTTGATTCTTGTTGATCTTCTTCGTAGAAGGCTCTTAGAACTTCGGCTTGAGTGTAGTTGTGGCGCTCATCATCAACAATCATGTTGTGCATAATGATACATGCTTTCATTATGTCTCGCAGTATGTCCTCATCGTACGCCAGTGACGGTTTTCGTATTATTGCAAATCGAGCTTGCAAAACACCGAATGCTCTTTCAACGTCCTTTCGAGCAGCAGCCTGGTGGTCAGCGAACAATTTATTTTTTTGAAGTTGAGGGGTTGTGATACCCTGAACAAAAGTTGCCCACTTCGGACAAATACCGTCGGCTAAGTAATATGCCATGTTGTATTCATGGCCGTTAACGATAAAATTTACCAGAGGAGCTCGACCATGCAGAACCTCATTGAACACTGGGGAACGGTATAAGACATTAAGGTCATTACAAGATCCAGGAATCCCAAAGAAGGAATGCCATATCCATAAATCCTGATCTGCAACGGCTTCCGGTATTAGCGTTGCTTTCTTGTTCCTACCGGCGTACTGCGCTTTCCATGCCGTTGGACAGTTCTTCCATTCCCAATGCATGCAATCAATGCTGCCTATCATGCCTGGAAAACCACGCAGTTCATTTTGATGCAGTATTCTGGCCAGTTCATCAGTTGTAGGGTTTCGCATGTACTCGGTTCCGAACTGATCAATGACCCCGGTACAAAAACGTTGAAGGGCAACTCGAGCGGTTGACTCACTGATCCGAACGTATTCATCCACGGCGTCCGCAGCCATGCCGTAGCCTTACATTCTTATCGCCGCTGTACATTTTTGCAGAGGTGATAAACCTAACCTTCCAGCTGCATCCCTACGCTGCTGGAAGTAAACATCACCTTCAACGACCTTGTTCATTATACGTACAAACAAAGGTCGTTGCATACGAAATCTTCTTCTAAATTGGGTGGTGTTGTACACAGGATTATCGGAAAAGTAATCATTAAAAAACCTGGCATGTCCAATTTCCCTATCTCTTCTATTCGTACCCCCTCTAGGTTTTTTTGAAGTGTGTTGGGATTGTGTTTGGGGCATGAGGACAGATGAGGTTTGGTATGTGAAGAGTTCATCAACAAGTTGAGCATATTCTTCAGTATTTGAAGAAGATGAGCTTGAACTTGAGTTTGATGATGGTCTAGAATACATCTCGTATTAATATTGTTACTTGATGAATGGGTGTGGTTGTGGATATGTGTCATGCCTACTATATATAGCAGAAATATCAAATGAATATGTGGTTACAAATCTGAATGACCAAACCAAGTAAAGGAATCAAATTTTCAACCACGGAATAGGTATACTATGCTAGGTGACAGTGACAAGTCTTGAGTGCAATAATGTCGGTATCAATGGCACAAAGGTAAAGCATTTTGATAAAGTTAATATAGGAAAACGTGGCTATACAATGACAAAGATTTATTGAAATTATGTCGGTATCAATGACACAAAATTAAAGCATTCTGATAAAGTGATATCAGAAAAATGTGACTACACAATGTCAGAGATTTAAAGCAATTATGTCGGTATGAATGGCAACTTCAATCAACTTGTTAAACAACTTGTCATTCAATATTGGAAAATCAGAATACAAGTGTACATCTTTCTTACTTTGAAATTAACCACACCACTAATACAACTTAAAAATAAAAGACTAAATTGCGCTTGATAAATAACAGACTACAACCAAACATGCTTAAAGGCCTTGTAATTTACCCAGTAAAAAATTCTTGTACGACTCTTCTTCAGGAGTGAGTGGCGTAGGCGAATTCTTCATAGCTTGCACCATATCAAACCAGGTTTTCATCTTATGAATGTCAAGTTCCTCCCTTTTCCTCTGTTCCTTGTCTTTTTCAATTTTGATCCTCTCTTCCTTCAGAATGGCCTCCCTCTCGCGAATTGTAGCGAATTCCTTCATTCGTTCGCTAAGCTCAAACGAACCACTTTCTGTTGCTACTGCTTTCCCTTTACGCTTCGCCTTTGCTTTCTTGACACCCTCGGGTCGTTGTAAACCGCTAGATGAAAAACCATCCGTAGGGGTTTCATCCTCTACATCATCTCTGGACCTCTTCCCACTTCCAGCACTACCTTCTTCCTCAGCATCACAAGCGGCTTTTCTTTCCTTCAATGACATTGACCATCTCAGCTTTGGTCTCCACTTTGGATCCTTTTTAAGCATTTCAATTGCGTGAGGAAAAGTGAAATTGCGACCTTGGGCGACATGAAAAAGCTTCGCCGCACTTTTCATACGATCAGCTTCATTGTAACCACTCCCTCCCTCCGGAAGTCTACCTGCTTCATCATAGCAAGATATCCATTGCAGTGTGTCCGCTGCCAACCTTCTCCAGTGCGATGTCAGACTCTTAATAGGCCTTGGCGGAATTATATGCGGCTTCTGCGTATGCAAAGTTTGATATGCTGCGTGTACATTGCGTTATAGGCTAGTTTCTTTTTGGCTTGTACTTTTAATAGCATCCTCGCTAATCTGCAAGTACAACCCAATCAGAGCTTCATCTTCCGCAACAGACCAAATACGGGTAGCTCGTGCAGGAACCTGGTTGGGTTCCAGCAAGCGAACTGCTGGAGGAGGATACTGCGGCGTCTCTGGTACGCTTTCCTCTTCGCTCTCATCGAAGAGTATGTTACTACCAAGATCAGTTTCAGGTGTACGATCTTCACTAGCAGGGTTTTGTAGGGGAACCTCAGTGGGTGTCTGATGCAGTGGAGGTGGTTGCGAAGACATACTGCCCATTCTTTGCAAGAACAATTGAAACTCGGGATTAGTTAGGAAATCATCACTAAAACCCGAAAATTGTTGACGGAAATTTGGGTTGTTTGGATCCATTAAAAGATTTTGCATCAAAAAACAAAAGATAAATATCGTTACAAACATTTACTCAAAAAACAAATTAAAATGATAACAAATCCACAAAAATATCAACAACTTTCTTCAATTGCATAATGCAATTACATTACATGCCATACAATATTTTTTTTTTCCTCACAAAATAACATATATACTAATTTTAACACATAACTACATGTACATATTAAAAAAAAATAATTAACCAATACTTGCAACACTTAAGAACTATGAATTTAGAAATTTATTGAGAAAATATACACAACTTTGTTTAATTACATAATGCAATATAATTTCGTGGCCTAAAAAATCACATATATACTAATTTTTTTGCGTAACTACATTTATATATAGCAAAAAAAATTAACCAATAATTGCAACACCTTAAAAACTACAAATTTAGTAATTCATGGAGAAAATATACACAACTTTGTTTAATTACATAATGCAATTTAATTTCGTGGCCTATAATTTTTTTTTCCATAAAATCACATATATACTAATTTTATTACGTTACTACATTTATGTATAGCAAAAAAAACTAACCACTAATTGCAACACTTTAATAACTACAAATTTAGAAATTTATGGAGAAAATATACACAACTTTGTTTAATTACATATTGCAATATAATTACATGGCCTACAATTTTTTTTTTTTAAAAATCACATATATACTAATTATATTAGAAAAAAAATTTAAAAAAAAAAAAAACTAATTGTTACCTCAATATGGGTGAATTGCAACAACAATATTCTTCTACAAATTTAAAATACTTTTAAGAAAATTAAAATGTGGAGGATTTAAAGTGTTTACGAAATTATATCAAAATATATCAAAATGCATGTCTATTTATAGAGAATTTCATTTTATGACCGTTGGTAACTTTTTTTTTTTTTTTTTTTTACAAAATATATTTTTCAGAAAATACATTACAAAAATATATCCGTTGTAAACGGCTAGTATTTTCTGATTGGCTAGCTAACTGCACCCGCCACGTGTCGCGTCTTCATTGCTCCCCCTCGCTGCACGCGTCAGAAATCAGCCTTTTTTTTTTAAAATCTGCTTCATCAAAACGACGCGTTTTGATAGGCGCGCCTTTAAGGGACCTCATCAAAACGCGTCGTTTTGATGCTTGGAGTCCGAATTTTTTTTTTGTTTGTCAGCCAGCTGTGGGCCCCACTCTACTTACTATTCATCAATAAAAATGCTCATGAGCTTTTTTGGAAATGCTCATGGGCTTTTTTTCCCATTTTAACAAATTCTCACCATTGTAACCATTGATCATTTTTTTTCCTCACAAAAAATGCTCATGAGCAAAAAAAAGACTCACCATTGCTAGTGCTCTTACTAACCTTTGATTTTTACCAGTTTATAGAGAGTAAATTTATCATTTAATCATATACAATGTTTAATTATATAGATTATTATAATTACTTACAAAAAAAAATTAATTAAAAAATCATGTAATATGTGAACTTTATAACAAATAAAATAATTCTCAACTACTTTATTTATCAAATCATTGTAGAACTTCTTTGTATCTTTTTTTTTTTAGACAATCTTCTTTGTATCTTGGTTTCATCTTTTTTACACCCACCCAAGTAACGGAGGGACTTACTCCACATTTATCCAAAAAGAATAAGAAAAAAAAAAAACCATCATCCTCAACTTCTCAAGACCTCAACGCCATATTCGTTCTCCAAAACCCGCGAAATGGTGAAATTTTTTTGGCTCCAATATTTTTCTACTATGAATCAGCAGTTACTCCACGATCCAGTTGTTGATCTCACTATACAGCACACTCATCTTCTTAATCGGTTATATACCTCCTTCGTTTCTACTCAGGTGAGAGTTAATTAAGAGTATGGAGTATCTGTTTCGTAATCAATTAGTTGCTTTGCTCTCTACTCACACGGCTTCCTTTGCTTTTATGATTGGCAAGTGGGGTTTGATGCCACCGAATAATTTGTTGTTTTCTGAATTCTATTTGTAAGTCATTGTTGCCCCTTTTATCTCTCAAGTGAATTTAATCTTTATAACTGGTTAATTTGATGTTGGATTTGATTTTTAGATGTAATATATTCTAGGTTGTATTAATTTTAATTGTTTGATTGAATTACTAGGAACTTTCTAATTTCTGGTTGTTGTGGTTATTATGCTTTTGCTAAGGAGCCGCTATATGACTATAATTGGTTGATGATACAGATAATTTTGGTAGTTTTTTTTTTGGTAAAGATTCTGGATTTAAATCTCAATTAGTTTTATACAAGATACTCGTATATGATATGCCAAATTACTTTGAGTTGGTAGTGAAAATGGAGGTGAAATTAGCTTTACTGGAGAAATTCTTAATTGTTGAGTTGTATGTTTTTCCATCTGTTGTCTAGATCTGTCAAGGTGCATGTTCTTGATGAAAATATGCTGACAAATTCTCATTTTACTGTATGAAGGTTATCACTATGCGGCCAATAAGATAGCTTCCTTACAAGGCCAACTTGATATAAATAACTCATCTATTGTTAACATTGTAAATAAATTGTACACATTTCTACTTGTTAACATGGTAAATTGAATAATTTAAATAAGGCATCAATTAAGTAATCTATAATAGTTACTCCCAATACCGTCTTTACTCTATTATTGTCTTGCTTTTATAGATTCAAAACCATCTTATTACCCATAAGAATCAGAAAAAATTTCAAAAAAATTCAAATGATTCAGGACTATTTTTGCTGTTTCTGGTGTGTTTTAAGCAGCATTTAGAGATTTTGCTACTTTCTAATCCCCATTGCATCTTAGTTTTTTAGTCTGGTGGTTTGGTTTGAACATGATACTTTGCTTGTGTTGTTTTTCTCTTTATAGATAATCTTGCTATATTCCAGTCTTTACTCTTCAGATCTTGCGTGTCTTTCCTTAGTATTGCTTGATTCAAGTGATTTTGTCTATACATGTATCAATGTAAACGTTACAGATCACATTTATCCTACTAATATCTGACATAAGGTAATTCAAAATCTCGATTGCATATGCTTGATTATAGAGATTTTGTAATGTGTTTATGCTTTAAATATGCTTGATTTTGAGATATAAAATACCATTAATTGTTGTGTAAAAAGTTTGAGGATTTCATAGAGTTTGTGGTGAGAGTGTTTCCAACTTGTGTGATAATGTTGTTGGGTAAGAAACAGTAGTGCCTTTTGTTTTTGCATGCTATTAATATTGAGGTTGGGCCTAAGGAAGATATGCATCTTATGACTGGTCTTCACACAGTTGCTGATATCCAATGTGCTGTTTGTTGACTAGTACTAGGGTGGTAAACTTGCGTGCTTTGTCACAAAAGTACAAAGAAGGGAAGTTCATTTTAGAAGTCCAAAATTGTCAACTACTAGGTTTTCTTTATTCTTGGACTAGCGTTCAGCTTAAAAATTAGATATACTTGCTAAGAAAATGTGTGCTTGAACATTAGATAATCTAAGAAAAACCAAAAACATAAAAATTTTAAATTGATTGCTAGGATAAGAAAGCATATAATATAATCCCTTATCCATAGGAACAATCCAAAACAAAGAATATGCTAAAGAGTGAAGAACCTATAATCTAAAAAAAAAGGCCAAAAAAATTTGCATGACGAATGAGCAATAAAATGACAGGATAAAAAAAAATTATGAGATTGTTAGATGTGGCACAAAATGCACATAGTACAAGATTCCTTTCTTTTAGTCTTGTTCACACCATGATCTTCATTATTGTCAAACTTGGCTTAATTACCTTGGCCAACCTTCCGTGTTCTGACCTTTTTAGTTGTTTGGACCAGGTATTGTTCCTAATATGCAGCACATTATAGTTTTAATTTAATTGATGACTATTATTAACCAGAATATATATAATTACCGCTTTGTTATTGCTTTTCATTTTGTACAAGCTTGCTTTTATGATAGCTCATACATGGTTATTTTTCTTCTATTTCATTGATTTATTTTCACATTTTATTAGCTCCAAGTATGACAAAGAAAAAAACCAGTAAGCTTGGAGCTATAGGAGGTTCTGGTGATCAACATCTTGAAACTCATGAACCAAGAATTACAGAATATGAGAGGCTTAGATCGGAAAGGATTAAAGAAAATATGTCAAAAATGCAAGAATTAGGTTTGAAGGATAAGGCCATGTCACTGATGGCGATAGTACAAAATAGTGGAGGCAATTGTAGTAAGCATAAAATGCATAACGTTTGTGCTGAAGATGGGCTCTATAGGCCTAACCAAGATATTGATATGGAGCATGAGCTTGATTCCTCTGATGAAGAGTTATTTATTCCACATTCTAAAAGTAATCTCAAGTCGAGGACTATTCCATGGAAGGTGATCGTTCCTATGATATACAATTTATCAATAAGCATGTTTGCTGTTTACACTTGTTAATGTTGCTTACATTTGCCGAGTCGCAAAATGAAGGTTCTGACTCGAAAAGTAGTGACAGTAGCTTTGGCTTTTCGGAAACGTCGGCAGAAAGTTGATTTGGCTTCTTCACATGGTGGCTCATCTACATCGCAGCAACCTGTTGAAACGCTAGGATCAGAAGTCGAACACTTAAATCAGAACAAGAATGATAAAGAAAATGGCAAGCTCTCTTCATTTTTGTATTTTAAAATATTTATATGCATGCATAACCCGTCCGTCATTATTTTTTTTTAACTTTTGAATTTCTTTTCTGAATTCGGTTTAGGTGAAAAGGATAAGCCTAGAAGAGGACCTACTATGTGAGAAGAAGAACACTTAGGAATTACTTTGAATGAGCATGGACAACCTGTTGGTCATCATGATGACAAAACATGCAACGAGTTCACTAGCTTTATAGGAACAATAGCTCGAAAACCAAATATTCTACCATTCACTGTCAAGAATTGGCCCATACTAAGGAATAAGAAGAAAGAACTCTGGGATTATGTCTTGGTGAGTTACTTAGCTTATTCAATCAAATAAATATGATAAAAATGTTTCACAATTGCTTAATTTTTCCTATTTGGTTATTGTTACCATATTTTGCATGACGTAGATGTTAGCTTGAGCACCTAGAGCATATAAAGACCTGAATTAAGCTAGAAATGAAATTATTCTAATGTCTACAAGCTGTGACTGGTGGCTGCCTGCTACTGTGGGTGGCTTACTGCCTGCTGCAGCTGGTGGATGTCTGGCTGCTGCAACTGGTGGATAGTTGCTTGCTGCCATATGTTGGCAGGAGGTGGCTGCCTAGCTGTTGCTATGGCAGGAAGGTGATGTGCGGCTTTCTACGTGCTATGATGAAAAAGGGAAGAAGTATAGTAGTAAATGCATATTTGCTCAAAGTTAAAATATAAAAAATCATTAAATCATGCTACTACTCATAAAATCTTGTAAAGATTCCATGTCTGCCAATCTGATTTCGTACGTGTTCTAAACCTATTTGCATATACCTTAATCCCTTATTATTATACCCTTCTGAACATGCATGGTTAAGATCTCTAAACGTTAGATATGTTAGGAGATTAATCTTAAAGTTATAGATTCATACAAAATTAGACTAAGAAAATTTGAACCAGATTAAGCCAGGCTAAGAAGATCATACCACATGTTTTTATTTGTGTTTGCCTATCTGTGCTTGTTTAGAAAGAACAATGTCTATGATATTATTTAATGATTCAACCACTCAATAGTATTATAAGGGTTAGGGGAATTTATCAACTGTAGTGTAGTCTAATTGTCCTAGTACATTAACTTCAATCGAATTAAGTTTTCTCAGAAGTCAGAACATTGTGATAACCTTAAATCATCTCTAAAGTTTTATATAAATAATACTTAATAATGTAATCTTTCTTACTTGATGAATGTTTGGTCCATTATCATGTTGAAATTTTTGTATACCATACTTTTTCATTGTTGCATAAACATTATATTGTTGCATTAATGATGGAAGTTGAAAAGAAGCATGATAAGGAGGTTGAAGCTATGCAAAAGAATTACGAGGATAAAAGACAACAAGATAGAAGGGAAATGGCAAATGGTCTTCGCTCCTTTTCTCAACTTCAGCAACAAAATCCTCAAATGTCTTTTGATCTAGACATGTTTGGCTCTTTATTTTTGATAGTAAATTCGAGAAGGATGGTAATTCGACTAAGATGCTTCAACTTCATTCTTTAGCTTCTACATCTAAGGTTTAAACCGCTTGATTTCTATGCTACGCAAAGTAGTAGAGGTAGATATCGACAAAGGTTTTCATTTTTTTTTCTTTTGGTGCATTTGAGAGATAATATGAAGTTTAGTTGTTTATCTAACAAACGAAATCATCCAAGCCATTCTAACTTTTATTTTATACAATTTTTTTTTTTTTTTTTTTTTTTTTTTGTAATTTTCATTATGTCATTAGTTACGCATTTATGTTGCTACATTTGAAATATATTTATTCCAGGCATTTTTTTTATAGGGATTGAATAGTATGGAAAGTGAGCAAAAAGAAGATGAAGAAGGCAGCAAGTAAGAAGAAGAACGTGATGTCATCAATCAATTTGAATTTGCTTTAAGTTGTACATTGTTATTTATCATTTGGACACATTTTTTTCTTCAATTTATTAGCTAGACTAAAAGTATGCCCGCAATATACTCCAAATAGGTTGTTGAGATGTATTGGTATTAAAAACATGTTGATATTTTTTTTTTTTATATTTTTTTTTTTTATATATTACAAATTTTACTACTTTGGAATCATTTAGTTAAATGTTTATAACATATTTTGATGTTCGACATTTTGATGTTTAACGTAGTATAACAATAAATGATTACTACAATAGAAAAAATAGTCGATTCATTTTAGTTTTTTCAATTTATATATAATAGTTCTTAAAGCGTTGTCTTTAATATGTTTGACAACACTTTTGTACAGTTACTAGCAAATACAACAATAGAAAAGGTTGTTGCATATTATGACATAAGGTAACAGCTTTGAATTGTCTCCTTAGGTGGCAACATTTTTCATTTGTTGCCTTTGGAAAAGTGTTGCCTTAGGTATCATTTTACCTTGGCTTTTAAAGTTGATGCCTTTGAATAAAAAAAAAGTGTTGTCTTATGAATAGACAACGGGGGAAAAATACGCCTCATATGTGTTGCCTTAGCTATAAGGCAACACTTTTTTTATATTAGGCAATAGTTTTTCACTGTTACTTATGTTTAATTTTGTTGTAGTGTAGTAGTCAAATAGGCCTTACTTGGGCTAATTTGGATGAAAATGAACCCTAAAACCCTTAAATTGCTCCTTTCATGTGATTTCAAGCCTTAGCCACCTATAAATAAGTAATAATGACATGTTTTGAGAAAGAATGACTTCATTTGACAAGAAATGTAGGAAATAGGCATCCTAGTAGTCAAATAGGCCTTACTTGGGCTAATTTGGATGAAAATGAACCCTAAAACCCTTAAATTGCTCCTTTAATGTGATTTCAAGCCTTAGCCGCCTATAACTAAGTAATAATGACATGTTATGAGAAAAAATGACTTCATTTGACAAGAAATGTAGGAAATAGGCATCCTAGTAGTCAAATAGGCCTTACTTGGGCCAATTTGGATGAAAATGAACCCTAAAACCCTTAAATTGCTTTTTTCATGTGATTTCAAGCCTTAGCCGCCTATAACTAAGTAATAATGACATGTTATGAGAAAGAATGAGTTCATTTGATAAGAAATGCAGGAAATAGGCATCCTAGTAGTCATATAGGCCTAAGTAATAAATTTTTGCCTAACTGAACTTGTAAAATGTATTTTTACATGCATAACCTAAGTAATTAATTCTAACATACTTTTTGTTTATTCCAAGTTTTTCAAGGTACAAAAGGGAGGTCCGTTGACGAGCAAAGAACTTAATGAAGTTCGAGACATGTTGACGTCCTTCATCACATTTAACTTGTAAATATCATTTCTATTTGAACTTGCATTGTTAACTACATTATTAATTAGTATTGTTTGTAATTATGACACTTTTTTTTAATTAATTAGTATTGATTGTAAATAGTATTGCATTTGGGATTATTAATTAATATCTATGTATTGTTATTATTTCAATTTACAAATTATTATTATTATTTATAATATTATAATTATTATTATTATTATTATTGTAATTGTAATATAATAATGGTAGAATTAATGCAGGATGTACAGGTTCTCATTATTATTATTAGTATTAGTATTAATATTATTATTTATTGCTGAAAAAAAAAAAACCCACAGTTAAAGGCACCGGTTCAGGCTTCAAACCGGTGCCTATTGTATTGAAATAAAAAAAAAAAAAAAAAAAAAAAAAGCGCGCCATGGGTAATTAGCACCGGTTAACCGGTGCCAAAGAGGGTATTTCGCACCGGTTAATCGGTGCCAAATCTTTAAATAGCCACCGGTTTTGAACCGGTGCCAAATCTTCAGAGATTTGGCATCCCTCAAATATGAAACGGTTCAAAACTGGTGCGCAAAGGGGGGTTTGAACCGGTGCTAAAGACCTTTTTTCGCTTAGTGTAGGAACATCCATCCATAGCTTTACACCTGTAGCTAAATTACAACCAGAAACACACCGCTCAAACCTTATAAGTCTAGCTTCAGAAGAATCAACATACTTCACATTCTCCTGAACTTTCGCAACAGATTCATCAATGACTTTCAAACCTTCTTTGACAATTAAGTTCGAGATATGGGCAGAGCATCTAACATGAAAATATTTGTCGTCAAGAGGTAATTTAGCCATTGCATCCAATTCAATTTGGAGTTTCCCAACCATAGAATCCATATTACTTCCATTGTCAATAGTCATACTACAAATTTTTCTTTCAATACCCCAATCTTTGATCAAACTAAAAACCAGATTATAAATTTCATGACCATTATGGGGAGGTGGAAAATGCCTAAAGTTTAGCACCTTAGACCGTAATTTCCAGTCATTATCCACAAAATGGGCCATAAGAGACAAATAACCACGAGTAGTACAAGTTGTCCATACATCACAAGTCAAGGACACTTTACTTGTTAAGGCCTTAAACGTATTACGAACATATTGCTTTAACACATTATGCTCTATCATGCACCATTTCAATATTGTGTTTCTAGAAATAGTTCTAACCTTGTAATTCAAATATGTATGCAATTCCCTAAACCCCTCGTGTTCTACAATACTTAAAGAATAACCATGCTTCAATAATATAGCTCTAGCAAATAACTTACAGTATTCTTTTTGGTCAAATTCAGATGCATTAGACTCATTAGACTTATCTGAATCTTTATATTGTTGGCACCAATCAAGGTGTCTCTTTAGATTAGACGTATCAGTCGTACCACTATGTTTCTGGATTAACCTTTTGCAAAACTTGCATGCAGCATGTTCACCATTAATCCTAAAATTCAGCCAAATAGGAGATCGCTTTCCTTGAATTGGAGATATTGATTGATGGGGTTCAGGTGTTGGTGTAGCATTTCCAACACTCATGCATGTAATTGATGCTTGCATAACCTCAAAGTCACCCACTACACCAAACAATCAGGAAAAGATTAGGAGTAAGATCAATAAAAATGCATAATTTTTAATTAATTAGAATGAACTATACCTTTTTCAGCTGCGTAATCAAATTCATCCTCAGCCATGATAGTTTGACCCCTCTAACACCAAAACATATTAACGGATTAAACCCCTAAAAATTATCAAGAACATCTAAATCTAAAAATTTGCCCAAAACGTTGTAATCCTTAAAATTATTTAAAATCAAAATGCTAAGCATAATATTAAAAATTTAACAGATTAAACATATAAATTGTCGAAAAACAATGTTGAACAATTATTAATCAGGAAGATCAAATGTTTAGATCCATAATTTATGAGTAAAATTCGAATCTGAAAATTGGACCGATTACTCGCTCCTTGACTCCTTGTTGAAGGTAGAATATGGGAGTGAGAATTTGAGATTGAGAGAGGGATTGTGTGAGTCTGGGAGAGGCCGAGCAGTGGTGAATTATAGCCATGGGTGGATCTCTAAATTTTAGTAAATTAGGAAAGCTAGACTTTAATGGCGGCAATGGCGAGATTTGCGATTATTGAGAATTTTAGTATATTAGGAGAGCTAGACTCTAATGAAGGTTAAATATGGGAGTGAGAATTTGAGATTGAGAGTGAATCACTGATGATTGAATTGAACGTGATAATGACTCCAATAATGCTCCCCTTATCACTCTTCTTTTTTTTATTTATTATTTTGTTAGCTAATTAAGTCATAAAGTATTAAAGTATTACATTTTTCTCCAAATAACTAGCAATTTAGGATTATGTCATATCTTTTTTTTTCCCCAATTCTATGAGTTATTTTCCTATTTAAGCTTATTCAAATATTTTCAATTAAATTTTTCTATTATCAAATGTATTACAATTTATATGTCTCAAAAAAACCTATAAAAATTTATGAATACCACTACTTTTTGGATGCATGTGCATTCTTTATTTAAATTTAGTAATTACGATTTACGATAACTACTACTTTTTAGGTGCAAGGTCATTCTATATTTCAATTAAACAATTATGGTTTACGAATACTATTACTTTGTAGGTGCATGTGCATTAATGTAGTTGATTACGGTTTACAAATACTATTTGACCTTAGGCTTGTTTGTTTTATCTTATATTTTATTTAAAAAAAAAATTTCAAATAAAAAAAAGTTAAAAAAAAATAATAATTTCGGATAATGATTGAATTGAACGTGATAATGATTGAATGCGAGCATGAATATATGACAATGACCCGATGATAATCTGACCCAAATAATTTACTTGTACCCGATCATGACTTGACTTGTTTGGATTCGAGAAAGTGGTGACCCCCGAACAAGAGCTGTTAAAAGGATTTTATTGGTCTTTTATTTTTCTAATTTTATTATCATTTGCCTATTTGATCTTATTTAAATGTTTTGAATAATTCCATTTAAATGTTAAAAAAAAATTCCATGAAAAAAAACGTGAACTCGGATATGAACTTATAAAAAATAAACAAGTTTAGATAATTTCAAATAAAATAAGTTTAGGAAAAAAATTGTTGTATTTTAACTTATCTAAACTAAACCTATTTTATCCTAATTTATATGAACTTATTGTATTTTATCTAAACATGTCATCTCGAATATGAACTTATCTGAAATTGTTATCCTAAAATGAGTGGAATCAATTCAATGTGAATAGATTAGAATAGGGTTTGAACTTATCTTCTAAAAATCTAAACTAAACCTATCTTATCTAAACTTATTAGAACTTATTACCTCGAATTTAAACTTATCTGAAATTATTTCTCTTACAATAAATGAAGTAATTGATAATGAGTAAACATGAATGTCATTACATGAACTGTTAACAAACCGACCAAAAAAATGTACCCAAACCTGATATGACCCGACTTGAAATCAACCTGATACCCAGATTAACCCAATATTTGAGACCCAAACCCGAACAGGACCTGACTTGGAAATGATCCAACCTGATTATAACCTGCAATATTTTGACTTGAACCAAACCCGACTTGAACCCGAACATGACCCGACTTGTAAATGACCCGACCTGATTGTAACCCGCAAATAATCGACTTGAACCTAACCCGACTTGAATCCAAGAATGACCCGACTTGGAAATGACTCGGCCTGATTATAACCCGCAAATTATTGACTTGAACCGAACCCGACTTGAACCTGAGAATGAC